TGGGACTACAGGAGTGCACCACCATGCCTGGCTAATTTTTCTATTTTTAGTAGAAATGGGTCTCGCTGTTGTTCAGGCTGGTCTCAAACTCCTAGCCTCAAGTGATCCTCCTGCCTCGGCCTCCCAAAGCTCTAGGATTATAGGCATGAGTCACCAGCCTAATTTTTTTGTATGGTAAAATTTACCAGATTTTTTTTTCATATGGGATTTTCTTTTATAGACTTATCAAAACTTTGATCAACCTTGAACTTATTCTAAGAGATCCAGCTTTTTGTTTCTAGGTGGTTGATCAATGGTCTATCATTGCTAAATAATCCAGCTTCTCCTTACTGACCTGAAATGCCCCCTTTATCATGCATTAACTCTATTAATATGTAATATATATTAGCCTGTTCCACTGATTTTTTTTAATACAAGTAACCAGTGATTTTAAATACTGTATGTTATATATGGTGATTGTCCAGCAAGGCCACACTTTCCTCACTATCCTTCTTTTTCTAACTTTCCCATAATGCCTACATTTCTTTTTTGCCTATGAACTTGAGAGTTTGCATGTCTATTTCCCCTCAATCCTGATGGAATTTTTCGTTGGGATTATATTGCATTTATTAAGCAGTTTGGAGTAGCTTGACATCTTAAAGTAATTGTCTTTCTATGAGTATGTGTACAGATTTATTCAAATCTTATTCTGCATACTACAGTAACATCCCAAATTTCTTTCAATAGCTCTTGTATATTTCCCATAAACTTTATTCCTAGATATTTAATCATTTTGCTAAAAATGTAAAATAGACCTCTTCTTCCATTGTGCTTTCGACATAGTTGTTGAGTGTATATAGAAAAGCAATGGCTTTTGTAAAGTTTTTAATCAGCCACATTACTGGATTCTCCTATTGTCTGTAACAGTTTTTCAGATGATCTTCTTGAAACTTCTAGCTGTATAACCATTTCATCTGCATAAAATCATAATTTTGTCTCTGTTTTTCCAATATTTTTAACTATTCAAATGTGTTTTCTAGCATTTCCAGAAGACAGAAAGTACTAAGCATACTTTCTGGACCTTATTTTGTTGGGGCATAGTGATTAAACTGGAGTTGAAATGATTTGAAATACTTTTTCTCAATACGTTTTTAATATTACTTAAGGTGTGATCCAATCACTATGTAAATTTTGGAGTCTTTCAATGTAGGAAATCTTTTAAATTTTTACTTTATTGGTCTACTTGCTTATCTCTTGGAAGTCTTATCAACTTTAGCCTCATCAACATCCTATTCCAGGCCATTGTACTTAGTATACCCAAGGTGAAAATGCATGTTTGAGAAACCATAATGACTTTTGTCCTATCAATAATGTTCAGACTACAAGTCATCAAAGCAAAGCAGCACACACAATGAGGTTATTAAATACGCTTCTTGAACACAATTTTCCATGGCTGCACACAATTTCATCAAGTGGGTGTAGCCTACACTATTGCTCAGGCTGATCTTTATGTCACGTCTCATCTTCTCTTGTTACTCTTGGTCTGTCTGCATATCTTCTTCAAACTCATTTTTCCTTATTATTGTCCTTATTCACATCTTTCAACCCATGTCACTCCTGTGACTAATACCTTCTGAAGGATGTATTTTAATTCTATTTTTGCATACATCACAACTGTCAATCTGAAAAGCTGATGATTGCCTTTACTCTTTCTGAAAGTCTAAATGAGCTGCTCTCTGATAATATGGGCCTCCACTGATACTCATTTTTTATGGACCAATTGACCTAAATTTAAAAACACTTCCTTACTACTTAACCATATGTAATTTATTTTTGTTATACCACTTTTAAACTGTATACTGTGAAACCAGACGAAGGTCTTAGTTTGTGCTGGGGCAAACCCAAGGAAGGGATTCAGAGTGGAGGACCACTCCCCTGCCCTACATAGCCTCTTCACGCTTGCTCTTCTCACAGTGCTGTGCATTGCCCTCTCCACACACTAAGCAGGCAGTTATAGTGTGAGCAGTCCACTCCTGGCGTGTGGTGTTCAAGACCAAGTACTAAAATAAGCAGAGGGTTTGATAACAGAGTATGCCCAGAAGAGAGTCAGTCACCATGAGGATGAGGGCTGAAAATCAAGTCACATAATTATATTACACTATATAATGTGCAATGGCTACCTACTATATTCTAGGCACTGTGCCTAAGTATCTTGTTATCTCATTTAATCTTCATAGCACCCCAATAAGGATGGTTCTATTTCATTTTTACCATCATTTTACAGATAAGGAATTTTTTGTTTTTTTAAGAGACAGGGTCTTAAAGCTCTGTTGCCCAGGCTGAAGTGCAGTGGTGCGATCATAGCTCACTGTAGCCTCAAACGCCTGGGCTCAAGTGATCCTCCCACTTTAGCCTCCTAAGTAGCTAGGACTACAGGTGTATGCCTCAATCCCCAGCCAATTTTTAAATTTTTTGTAGAGGCAAGATCTCAGTAAGTTGCTCAGGCTGGTCTCGAACTCCTGTCCTCAAGCACTTCTCTCACCTCAGCCTCCCAAAATGCTGGGATTACAGATGTGAGCCACTGCACCAAACCCAGATGAAGAAATTAAGATAGAAAAGTTAAGTAATCATCTAATATCACACAGGTTAATATATGACAAAGCACATCTTGAAAACCTATGCGTTTTTGTTGGAGGAAATCAAGAGTAAGTATAGGAAAGCATTAACAGCTATCTTTAAATTTTTGAAGATTTATCACTTATCACATGGAAGAAACCATAAATTTGTTCTATGAGTGTCAAAGTCTAATATTTGGGCCAATAAGTGGAAGTTGTAGATAAATAGGTTTCTGGTTGCTATATGGAATAATGTTCCAAGAATGAGATGCAGCTTGAAAAGAAGTAAATAATCCTGAGAGGTAGTGAGTTCCTGCTGGAAGGTAAACAGAGACTGGATGGTCCTTGTTGGAGATGCTGGCAAAGATATTCAGGCGCTTAATTAGCAGTTTGGATTAGTCACTCTCAAGGACCCCAGAGGCCTTGAGATGAAGGTAAATTATTCATTCTCTAATTTCCAGCAGGGTGGGGTTGTGCAGTATTATGGGAAAGTGGCAACATTGAATGAATTCTAGGTTGTCAACATTACAGGAACAACCATGTCAGGACTGAGGGAGTAATTTATAGCAAGGGAAGTTGATAAAAATACCTTAAACTCAGCAACAGAAAAATGTGGACAGACTTTGATAAAAGCAGCAGCTGTGTGCAGTGCAACAGGTTGGTTGAAAACATGGATTCTAGAGCCAGACCATGTGAGTTCAAATCCCAATTTACTAATCCCACATTTACTAATTGTGTGACCTCAGGCAAGTTACTTCATTAGACCTCAGTTTCCTCATTTATAAACTACTACGTTAAAAACACATTCTCATTTTTAATTCTTGTGGAAAAAATATATGTGTGTGTATATATATATATATATATAAAACAGTATATATATGTGTATGTATATTTGTTCTTCTTTATATATATTAGAACAAAGTTTAGGACATAATAGGTAATAAATATTTGTTATTATTGTCCCAAAGAGTGCCTGTGAAATTTTAAATATTCAAATGCTACAAAAGGTGAGTTATTCTTAATTTTACTAATTGTCACAAATTGATACATTGTTGTGAAAAAAAGAGAAACCGGCATATAGCAAATAACACAAACATAAGAAAATATTAGACCAAGATAGATTTGAACTCTGACTTTTAAAAAGATCTTCTGTTTCTCTATTTTTACTTATTTTAAACAATTAACAGTAAGTATTTCATTGAGCATCTAGTATATTATTATGTCTAACACAGTGCTAAATAAGGAGAATTGTAAGAAACTTATCACATGATCTTCACCCTTACACAGTTTATAACCTAGTTATTTGTGATTGTAAAGACATTTATTTTTTTTTTCCAACAAGAAATGAATATGAAATTCCAGCATGTAAAGACATTTAAAAAATTCCAGGACCTAACACCTTTAAGTGAAAATCATCTTTGAAAGTAATCACTTTGGAAGGTTATACACTTATTTCAATACTCCTGACATCGTTCAAAACATTTTCTCACATCTTTTCTTTTGGGATTGTCTTTGGAGTTATAACACAAATCATTTAAAGGAAAACATACACATTGCTCTAGAGTGTTGCTCCATCTCCCCCAAGCATCTAGCTTAGTCGCTTGAGCTATTCACTAGATTTGGTTTTCAGTGACTTCTGATTATTTTGAAATGTCAAATTCACCCTAGACAAGTTCGGCTGTTCTCAGTGATCTCCAGCAGAAGGCCCGGCAGCATTCCCGGACGGCAAGTCCGTAGGGGACGAGCGGCATCTCCCCCTTGCATCCCCGGCAGCATCCAGCATCCGTGGAGGGAGGGCTTAACCACAGCACGAGCTCAATATGCAGGCATGGGTCAAACTAAAGGGGCTGCAGCACGTCACCTTCTCAGCAGCTGGTGACAGCAGGACAGGCAGAGGATGATGGTGAGCAAGTGTTCCACGTGGGGCGGAGGACAACTTCTTTGATCTTTCTGATCTATTATTTCAGTGTTTTCTTTCGGTCTTTAACATCGCGAAATCAAACACTTTTGATTACTGAATTGAGACTCTGTCTGTTAAATAAAGTGATTATGGGACTTTCCATTGTCTAAGAGTGCCCAGAGAAGTCCTGGGGCATGTCAGTGTTTTCAAATAGGCACAAAGGAAGGAATTTACCCATTGAGCAGGTTTAAATAGACAAAACTAAAGTTGAGTTCTGATTCTATTTCATGAGTCCTGCTTATTTAATAACAATTATAATAATATTGTAATGTGACATTGTCTCCCCCAACAACCACGCTTGACTAGCTAAAAAAAAAAAAAGAAAAAGAAAATAATATGTAATTGTTATTCACTGGCTTTATATTTTTAGCATCAACCTACAGATAACATTAGAGGAATTAATGATAATAACACAACACGA